AAAAAAAAAAAATGAGGCCGTGTATCAAGAAGTTATGTTCTGTCATAGGCATTGAGCCAACTAATCGCATATAACCTCTAAACCTAATTTAGAGGACAAAATCTCATGTTCTTGTGGTTCATGCAATGAAAGGAAACACGAAATCTATAGTAATATAAAGAGGTTGTTGGAAAAATACAAGAATAGTAAGGTTGACTATAAAAAATAATGCTTTGACTTACTATTATAAGTAATAACAAAAAATACACACGTAATTAATGGTATAAAATTTGGATAATTTGATAGGAAATTGACAAGCCATATTTTTTGGTAACTAATTTAATCCCTTTTCTATTTCCTAACTAAATCCGGATAATTTGATAGGATATTGACAAGCCATATTTTTTGGTAACTAATTTGATTCATTTTTTATTTCCTAACTAAATCCATGTGAATCTCTTTGAATTTACAGATTTTTAGGTTGAAAATTGAAATCATTGATATCCCATAAACTTTGGAAAGGATTTGAATTTAAAATATGTGAGAATTAAACATAATCCACATATTAAAAACATATTTTGGTAAATCTACATATTTGATTATTCAAAAATTAAAAAATGTGAGATTTGAACATGAATAATCAAATGTAGTTACCAAAATTATTTTATTTTTGTACTACAAGTATATTAAAAACGTATTTTATCTACTTATCTACTACAAATAAACAAATTTTTGGTAGATCAAAATCAATTGATATCCCACCAAAAATTTTGGTCAATCAAAAATCAAAATGAAAATCAAATAATTTGGGTAAATCAAAATCAAATAATTTGTAAAGCATTTAACAATAGATGTTCAAATAATTCGTGGGTATTAATTGAATTTTGTATTTTTTTAACAAAAAAAAATTATAAATATATAATAGGAATAAGAATTTACTTAAAAAAGTAACTAAAATCTCACCAAAAAATATCATTCATACTATTATTCATACATTTTTTTTCGATTTTTTTAATGGGCGACGAGCTTTCAATTTGAAATTCAAATTATGAAAACATGTGATAAATACTGAAAAAATTTAATTTTATGTTCATGGCTTGATATATATTCAAATTCAAACGCAAATTAGCTATAAAATCAATCATAAGATATTCATGGATAATTATTTCACAATTTTTTGGATTGTTTGGAGTTAAATATTGCAGCAAAAATCTCGAGATTTGTTAAATGATACATACAAAATAAAAATATTATTTTTCAATTAATCCAAAAAGCCTTACCAAATTAAATTGTAACAAACTCTATTAATTTTGGTAAAAATTATGTCATATTGATATGACACATAATCCTCAAAATAAAAGATTAATTGTTGACTTACTGATATAAGCATTATCAATGAGCTCCACATGTCAACCAATTTAATCGGATTTTGGTAACAAATTTGGTCGAATTTTGATAACAAATCTCGAATTTTAGTAACAAATTTGATCTTATTTTGATAACAAATCTCGTGTTATGTTAACAAATTTGATCTGATTATGAGAACAAATCTCAGATTGTGATAACAAATCTCGAATTTTGATAACGAAATTTTTAATGTATCCTCTTTTTTTATAACACACGTCATAGTTATACACACACAATATATTGTCGATAATCATTGGGATTTCTTTTGGTAACAAATTTCACAATTTTTTTGGATTGCTCGGAGTTAAATATTGCAGAACAAATCTCGATATTTGATGAATGATGCATATCAAAATAAAAATATTTTTTTGTTCAATCAATCCAAAACCCCTTACCAAATTAAATTGTAACAAACTCCATTAATTCTGGTAAACATTATGTCACATTGATATGACACATAATCTTCAAAATAAAAAATTAATTATTGACTTACTATTATAAGCAATATCAATGAGCTCCACATGTCAACCAATATAATTGAATTTTTGTAATAAATTTGATCTTATTTTGATAACAAATCTTAGATTTTGTTAACAAATTTGATCTGATTGTGATAACAAATCTCGGATTGTGATAGCAAATCTCAGATTTTGATAACAACCCCTTTAAAACAACAATTTTCTTTGTAACACACTTTATTTTTATTTACACACAATATATTGCCGATAATCTTTGGGATTTCTTTTGGTAACATATTTCACAATTTTTTCGGATTGTTTAGAGTTAAATATTGCAGAAAAAATCTCGAGATTTTTTTATTTACTCACAATTTGATTTGATTGTGATAACAAATCCGGATTTTGATAACAAATCCTTTAATATATATATATATATATATATATATATATATATATATATATATATATTTTGTAACACACTTTATAGATATTTATACACTTTTGGATTTCTTTTGACAACAAATTTCACAATTTGTTCAGATTGTTTTGAGTTAAATATTGCAGAAAAAATCTCAAGGTTTGATAAATGATGCATATCAAACTCCATTAATTTTTGTAAACATTATGTCACATTGATAAGCATGATCTTATTTCTTAAGCTACTCCTTTCTTTTTTAACTTGACATTTTGTAACTATATCTCCTTTATGGGTCTATGTAATGAGACATGATTGGTTGTGACAAAGTTCTCCACTCATGTTCTCGGGCGTAAGATATTCACTGGCTATCGCGCAGGTGATAAAGTGTTGATTCCAAGAGTGGCTATAACTCCTTATAATGGTAGAATTCATTTTAAGTTCCAACATTGATAGTTTCCCATTATGGTTTCTTATGTCATGACTATAAATAAGAGCATGGACAATCATTTGTATGTGGGCTTATTTCTTAAGAAACCAGTGATTTGTCATAGCCAGTGTATGTTGTTGTCTCCCGTATCACAAACAGAAATGGTTTGAAAATCCTAATTTGTGGCGACGATGACGTGCCAACGTTTTATATAAGGCAATGTTCAATAATATATAGATTTTATTTCATTATACTTATTAATTTGTTAATTATTAATGACATGATCTTTCCTTTAGTAAGTACTTTGAATTTTAACTGAAAGTTGCTTTTTAAAAGGGACGGAGATAATAACCCCGTGCATCGCACGGGTATTGTACTAGTAACATATTAAAAGTAAAGCAGAAAATCTCATTCCCTAATGTACTCCCTCAAGACTAAAAAATACAGGTGTCGTTCATCCAATGAAATGAAACACGAAATAACGTATTAAAGTAAAGCAGAAAATCTCATTCCCTAATGTACTCTCTCAAGACTCAAAATCGACCGAATTTATTGAATCCCTCAAGACTAAAAGATACAGGTGTCGTTCATCCAATGAAATGAAACACGAAATAACGTATTAAAGTAAAGCAGAAAATCTCATTCCCTAATGTACTCTCTCAAGACTCAAAATCGACCGAATTTATTGAATCCCTCAAGACAAAAAAATACAGGTGTCGTTCATCCAATGAAATGAAACACGAAATAACGTATTAAAGTAAAGCAGAAAATCTCATTCCCTAATGTACTCTCTCAAGACTCAAAATCGACCGAATTTATTGAATCGAAAAAAAATGTCCAAATGCAAAGAACATCGTAAAATCAGAACCAAAATTAGAGTCCAAAATAGCCAGCATTAACTACTACTTCAATAATGCCAACCTTTCTACACTTGTAGTCTAATTCATTAATGCTAACAACACAGCACCTAACTCAAGAACCAGTAAAAAAATCGTAACATCTCCCCGAAAAGAATATAAATCAAACTGGAAAAAATATCACCAGACAATCGAGACGCTACAAGGGTGGTGCATTGCTCAAATACCTCCTCTCATAAAAGCCCATAACTTGATCAGCCACGGCCCACATAATGGCCTGGCCTGGCGGTATCCTCATCAGCCGAGGCAACAGTCCTTTCCACAGAGCCCGAATCCCTTCTTCCTCATAAATAGTCCCAATAGCATGAAACATGCCTCGGTACTTCATCTCACCACCCGAGCGGCTCTGGGCCATTAGCCTCGTCTTCACGACATCAAATGGGCCTGTGCACATTGGGCCTGCAGTCCCAGCAAGAAAGCCCGATATCATGGATTGCCAGGGCTGGAGTACTTTCCCATCCCCTTCGTGTTTGTCCCACAGAAAACCGTCGAACGCGTTTTTGGCTGTGAACATTGCAGCCTGGTTAGTCCCGTTGCGCATCACAGTTGGGGCAGCCCCGGCCCACAAACCAAGCAGGCCTTCTTCCCGGATAATCATACGGGCGCAATGTACTGGGCCTTTGTACTTGAGGAGCTCGGGGCTTAATCCTCTTTGCTGTTGAAGTCTGATTTTCACCACCTGCATTGATTGATGATGACAAGTTCATCAAGCTATGGTCCTAGGTGATTTTTGGGCTAGCAACTATTGTCCAGATGAAAATCCTAACCAGGACTGCAAACGAGTCGAGCTCGAGCAGTTCAATCGAGCAAACGAGTTGAGCCTCGAGCATCACTTCAAGAGGCTTGTAAGCTCAACGAGCCGCTCGACTTTTTATTTACATACATAAATAGTTTAATCATCAATATTAGAACACCGAAGCCAAATTTGTTAGATTAAAAATAATACATTTACATTTATTTAAAATTTAGTTGTCAAATTTCGAGTCAACTCGAGCCATGTCGAGCATCGGGTCAAGCTCAGGCATTCTTATTTTCTTAACGAGTCGAGTGGAGCAGCATTTTACATAGCTCGTCGAGCTCGAGCAGTAAAGAAAAAAAGTTTAGTCTGCGCTCGACAAGGTCCATGCTCGACTCGACTCGTTTGTAGCCTTAATCCTAACTAATCTGGCCAATGCTACTAAGCAGAAAGCTAAAGAACAATTAAAGAAAAAATGAATCAGAAGGGAAATACTTATCTTTAACTGCTCTTAAGCAGCACACAGGTTATGTATGTGACATTGCAATTTATGCCAAGATATAGCACATAATAATTTGCACAACACAAGAAGGCCATCATAACACATGAAGTAATACTCAAGACTCAAAGAGGTGAAGTTATTAATGAAAGCAAGTGTAAGAGCTAGAGTTTCACCTACAAGGCTACAGCCAGTTTAAAAGTAGCCATCAACTGTCTATATTAATTTGCATAATATCTTAATAAGAGAACATCTATCATTGTCCAAGATACAATCATACAAGATTAGACATGATAAATGGATCCCAGGATAATAACACATACTCATGATTTCACTCACAATAGCACTATAAACACAGAGCAATCACACAAAACAACTGCCAAAATCCATGATCAATATAATTCATGAGTTACTCGTTAGCCCCTCGAGAAATTCAGAAACACATGCTGCAATTAGCTTTACCTCAATCCTACACGCAAAACTGATTCCATCTTTATGCTAAGCTAAGCATCACAATGCACGCAAATAAATCTATCATCAAGTAGCAACAAACTAATCTCCATGTAAATTTGATCGATTACGTCAATGTAAATGATAAATCAACAGTAATTACTTCCAAAACAAAACTAAGACAAAACTAAGGTAAAACCAGCTGAGTCACCTCAAATGGGGTGACAATGACAAGAGCTTCAAGCACACCCGCACCAAAACCAGACAAAATCCGGCCGTGCTGACTCAGTTTTCCCGTCTGCGAGTCCTTGAAAGCGGACTGCAGGACCGCATTGGAACCCATCCGTAGCGCGTATTTGAGCGTCAGATGCGTCGCGAAGGGCGTCAGACCTTTCCACAGCGCCCGCACGCCCTCGCTCCTGTAGATGGTGGTGCCGCAGTGGATTATACCTCTGTACGAGCCCGTGCGGTCGAGCTGGAGCCGCGTCTTGATGACGTCGATGGGCTGAAGGCAGCTGGCCTCGACTATGCCGCCTAGGGATCCGGAAAGCGCCTTCATGTACGGCGGAATCGAGGTCTCGGCCTTCTGCGTTTTGTCGGCGGCCATCGGAGAGGGTTTTTCAGGCCAAACGGCGTCGTCGGCGGTGAAAATTTAGGGGAAAATGCCTGTGGCCGTCATGAATGGGAGGTGACAACTAAAGACTGAAAGTATGAATATTTTTTTGTTATACGGTGGCCCGGTGAGTGAGGAGGATTTTCATTTGATTTTTTCCTCTGTGTCAATTTTTTTTTTTTTTTTTTTTTCAGGTCCATTTGATGATGGGCCCAGTTGGGCTGTAATTTTAGGAGAGAGTGTACACTCCTTAAGTAGTGATTATTAGGTGGCCTAGGCATATATTCACTTAACAATGATGGATAATTAATTAGTTAATTAAACATAGTAATCATTTTTATATAAGCATAATGTAAATATGCGGGAGATTCTACGGTACCGTTACGGAACCATTCCGTCGAAGTTTGTGACCGTTAGATCAACTATCCACGACGGTTACATAATGATCTAACGGTTAGAAATCCCGACGAAATAGTTTCGTAACGGGACTGTAGCATTTCCCGTAAATATGCAGCGATCCAATGTATAAATACCTCTGAATCTCTTCCCCACTTCCCCCAATTTTCAGACATGAACAAATTGGCTAAACATCCTCTTTCTAAAATCGATGCGTATTTACATGTCAAACAAAGTTTTACAGTTCATATTTTGAATTAGAAAAATGCTACATGTACATGATAAATGTACATAAAGATGTACATAACACTCACATGGAGTGAGGTCCACTTGATTTTTTAATTTTAGTGGATCACACTCAATGTGAGTGTTATGTACACCTCTATGTACAACATTATATACCTATAGCATTACTCTTTGAATTTTAGGTTATAACATAAAAGGTTTAAGCCCCATGACCAATTTTTGACATTGATCATTTCGCATAAAATGTCATGATATTATGCGGCAAAGTGGAAAAGTCGTGATTTTGTACAATTTATAAAAAGGTCATAATATAACCAACCATTTTGTCTTAAAATACTATCTTTTTTTGTCAATTTGAGGGTAAGAATACATGTCATTTTAAATAGTTATCACCCTATTAGTCATACACTTTGTTGTAGATTTATCTATTTATCTATGTAAATATTTGTTATATTTTTTTTTTTTTCAAACACCCATGTACGTGTGTGCACACTAGTATGTATATATTAGTTTAAAAAGACATAAACTTGAGACATATATAAATTTTCAAACAAATATAGTTATAACAATATTTTGCTTTAAAAACAACATAAACAAGAATTCCACCACTAAAAGAAAAGTGCTCAAGAAAGACAAATCAAAATATTGAGCTGATTTATATATAGTTTAAAAGCGTCAAAAACATCACAGGATTTCTCCAGCAAAAAGGATCATAAAAACCTCTACACAGCTCATCTGTTTCTCATCAAATATCAACCAACAAATTGAAAACAGCATATTACATTACAAAGACATGATTATGTCCTATACCACAACAAAGGTTAGTTGAAAGCTGATAATGCTGCACAAGCAGAATTCACCAATCAGCGAAGAATAATTTCCATCGATTTTCGACACTTACAGATTTTCCCATCGATTTTTTCTGAATTGTCTTCACATGATGATCAATGGCTTGTTGCTAAGGCAGTGACTAATAGACCGAGTATCAGAAACGGTTGAGCACTAGCCTGAAAATGAATATGGAGATGGTAAAATAAGAACTAACTACCCGTAAAAAACAAAAAAAAAAAAAAAACAGATGAAGTTTAAGAACACGCGATTTTTGTGTATAAAATCAAATATGAAAAGAAAAGGGAAAAAAAGGGGAAATCTGCTTGAAAGTTTTATTAATCATGAGCTAGCACTAGTGTTATTATATACATTTGGCGTTTAAGACATAAAATGTACCTGATATTTGACGTCATATTTGACGGGATCTTTGAGGAAGTACTTGAACTGCATGAAAGGCATAAATGTGACTTAGTATAGTCAATAAGAAAGTAAATAAACACATAATGTAACACCTAAATGTGGCTAGCTACTTATTGGATTAATGTTTTTACGCAGTTGTCTAAAAAGTCTGAGAGTGTATTAAAATGGAGTTGGCATACATTTAAGTAAACCTTAAATTTCAGTGTTAAGAAAATACTAAAACCTTAGGCTATGTTTGGTAAAACTAGCTGATAAACTAGCTTATAGCTTATAAGCGATTTCTGATATAGCTTATGATTATAGTTGAAGAGGTAGCTGAAATAATTTCAACGAGCTTATTCGAAAAACTACCCAAGCTTATTACATATGCTTGAGCTTTTTAAAAAACTCGGCATACCAAACAAAACTTATTTAAATACAAGAAACTTATAAGCTAACTAAATAAGTTATATACTAGTTATTTGTTTACCAAAAATTGTCTTAGTATCATGTTCTCGACGTCTAGTTGTTGCTAATCAAGCCCCCAAAAGGGGAAAAAAAAGGTCCATCTTTACAACTTCTAGACGCATAATTTTATTCAGAATTACACATTTTGAGCTTAGTCAGAGAGAGAGAGAGAGAGAGCGATTTATTTTACCTGGAAAAAGATTTGTGGAGCGATTAATCCTAAAAGTGCGAGAGCGTAATACGGCTTCCCTGATCCTAGAAGATAGCCTGCAAAAACATAATTTGCCTGGTAGGGAATTTACTGCAGATGGTAGATTTTTTATATTTTATTTATTTTTTCGGATTATAAATTTGGGAAAGGAAAACAAGTAAGATAGTCGCATTTCGTGTTTCAAGAATATATACAAATGTGATGGGACCATCACCGTATACACTATCTATAAACAATCAATCAAAAAAATTGCTTCTACAATGTAAAAACGTTTGACTGACCCGACTTCCTATTATAAGTCGACTTAACAATCGATAAATTGTTTTTCTTTCTTAAAAAATAATCTTAGGCTATGTTTGATAAATCTGATAAATTGGATTATAGTTTATAAGTGATTTTTGAACTTATAGCTTATGACTTATAGATGAAAAGTTTGCTTATATGATTAGATTTATATGTTCCGGAAGTCAATTGTTATACAATTGTTATACAGAGCATATAAATCGACTCACCCGCCACAGATATCTGAGTTACGTCGATAGCACCGACACATATCCATTTTGCAGTCTCAGCCCCAAAAGCCACCGGTAGTGACTGTAAAGAAGTTAAACGAGCAAAATTCACACAGTTTTTTTTTTTCCAAAATTATTATGAAACCGAATGTTACAAGTTACCTGTAGTCCCATTTTCCGGTCCCCTTCTATACTTTTGAAGTCATTTACAATTGCTATTCCCAGCTAAATCATAATACGCAGAAATGTAAATTACATATTAATTATACGCAGCAATTAAAGAGGAAAAAATAAGTTAAAAAAAAGGAATTACATACACCAGCCATACTGTAAAGCAGTGTTAGAACAATGATATCAGGTGTGAGAGTTCCAAACAATGCTTGACCAGCCCACCTATAATTTTGAATAAGGTCCAAGTCTGAATTTTAAATTCATAAATAAGCTATTATTCAGAAAATATAAACCAAATTCCACCAAAAATTTGATATTCCAGGAGCAGTTTACCTTTTAATCAATCGTTTTTAATATATAGGATTATCCAAGCAAATTCGGTACTATATAAATGAGTTCGAAGAATTACCAAGGCAAACTTATATAGCTTGCTCCAAGGGCAAAATTTCCAATCCATCCATTTTGTTTGAGCTGCAACACATAGAAAAATATTTTTATTTTTTTTTGTCGAAATTGAAAAAAAAAAGTCTATATTTTTGCCAGTTGCAAAATGATTTTCATACCTTCAATGGTGGAGCCGAATATATGTAGGACACTAAAGATCCACCCACGGCAAGGCAAAATATCACTGGAAAATCATGCCCTGCCTATATATACATAAGAGCTATTAGAGGTAAACCAAAAATATGAAGAAATAAACAAAACATTCACAAGAAAAAAAAAAAAAAAAAATGCACCTATTTAGTAACTAACACCTACCCACACGTCTAGTAGACCGGCGAAGCCAAGGCCTGCCAAAAGCAGCACCCATATTTGTGTAATCACCTGATAAAAATAAAATCTTTTAAACATCCCACATCAAGTTTTGTAGTTACGGAACGAAAATGTTAAACTTTCATATACCTCCTGCTCGGATATAGCTCCCGAAGGAATCGGGCGATATGGTTCATTAATGGCATCGATCTCTCTATCGTACCAATCATTCATAGTCTAACAGGCCAAAATTCAATAAAGTTATATGGTTAATATTCAGAAGCAAAATACTCAAATGGGAAAATGGCACGAAAATAAAGATTTATACAGGATATATATCAACTATAAAGGCTTTGTTGTTGTTTGTATATATCGATCTATACTGAGTTAATGTGAAGTAGCACCTGAGTGTAGCCAGTTAAACAAGGGCCGGACATAAGCATACATACGATCGATTTAGCTACATCTTCAAAAGTCCAATGGAAGTTTCCTTCATTTAACAGATGCAAAGAGAACTAATAAATGTGAAAATCAAAATTATCCAATTTCTCTGTTTGTTAGAAAAAAAAAAAAAAGGTTAAAGAAAAAATTAGCCTACCCCAACTTGTTTGGGACTAAAAGGCTATGTTGTTGTTAAAGCAAAAATTACCAGATGCAGCAGCTCCACAGACCACACCCCAGACGAGAGGCGGCCAAGTAACGGGCTTTGTAAGCTGAACTCGAATTTTCCACTTATTCTGAATAAGCACAACATTAGGGAATACGAATATCACAAGCCACTTGAGACACCAAATCACATAAATTACTACTTTCCTATTCCAAGAGCAAAAAACAAACAACAAATGAATAAAAGAAATTCATGTTTTGATAATGTAATAAACTCGAATTTTCCACTTATTCTGAATTTTCCAAGTAAACTGAACTCGAATTTTCCACTTATTCCGAATAAGCACAACATTAGGGAATATGAATATCACAAGTCATTTGAAACACCAAATCACATAAATTACTACTATTCTATCCCAAGACCAAAAAACAAACAACAAATGAATTAAACAAATTTATGCGTTGATAATGTAATAATAAACTCACAGATTCTTGTTTAGCCCCTTTAATACCAAGAATCTGATTTATACTCGAACCGCTCTCAGCGGGCACCTTATCCGGTGCCTTAGCTCCAACTGCAACACCAACTTCAGAGTCCAAATCTCAAATAATGCAAAACCCATTTCAATCTTGTCCAAAAAATCGAAACTTTGAACAAGTTCATCGTACCTTGGTCCGTATCTGTTTCAGAAGCTCTCACCACAAGGCTCCTCCCTAAAGGAAACAAAAAAAAAA